CTGCCATTTTACATGCCTATTTCGTTACTTTTCTCGCTGTGTATGTTTATACAAAATTCTTACTTATGACCATAAAAATATTTACATGCCCATATGGCATTTGGTTGTTGTTGTTGCTGTTGCTGTTGTTGTCATTTGCATGTTTTGCCATCGTGTTATTCGCTTTGTGCTTAATGAATAAAATATGTCAGCTGCTTTGCTTTGCGTTTTGTCGTGCTTCGCTGCTTTTTTTTTGTGCTGTTGCTGTTGCTGATGCTGCTGCTGCTGTTGACACTTACAAATCTCATCTGGGCAGCTTTGAAGTATGCACTAGTTCGGAGCACATCTTTCATTATGCAGAACATCTGGCTGGCTGACTGCCTGCCTGGCGGGCGAGCTGCTTGAGTGTGTTTTCAGGTCTGAGCCGCATTGCAATTTCGCAAAACGGTTGCTTATTCAAGCAGCACGCAAATTGCGACTCACACTTCATAATTTAATGCAGTAAATTGCAAAGGGCACGTGGCGAAGTGTAATTTCAAAAAAGAGCGCATTTAAGCGTGCAACGCGTCCAGCTGCCGGCCATGTCGCCATGTTTAGTGGCCGTTTCCGGTTTGCGCCTACAACGTATGCAACACTTTTTGTTTCATTTAATACTTGTTACATGGCTGGGCTTAACCGCTGTTAACTTAACAGCGCATGCTTACAGATCTGTTACAATACGCAGTTTGCTGTTATTCGAATGTTTTAATTAATATTTGTTATCTGACGTGTCTTCACAGCTGTTATCTTAACAGCGAATGCTTACAGATCTGTTACAATACGCAGTCTGCTGTTATTCGAATGTATTTATTTTTACTTGTTACTTAGCTGGGCTTAATAGCTGTTATCTTAACAGCGAATGCGTACAGCTCTGTTACAATACGTAGCTTGTTGCTGTTATTCGAATGTTTTAATTAATAATGTAATAAAATGAACCGATTTTAATTATTTTACAATTCGTATTAACGGAAGTTGAAATTCCTCAGTGTTTGCTGCGAGTTTTAAAATACTTATATATACATTTTAAGCAGCTAAGTATACAAAAAAGAATACAAATGCAATTGGCAATATGGGCTGGGCTTGCACTATAATTTATGGCAGACATGCATTGGTAAATGATTTTCTATATAAAAGTGCGTCGCGTGATGCAACGCACATGCTAAATCATTGGGGTGCAATTACTTAAATATTTTTTGACGTTGCATTGTGCTGAGTTAGTCAGTTTGTTGCTTCACTGTGGCTGTTCTTGTTGTTGTTGTTGTTGCTGAAACAAAAGCAAACAAATGGGCAGCGGCATATAAATTTGTGCCGTTGTTGTTGAAGCGGAACAAAAGCAGCCGCTGCCAACAGGAGCAGCAAAAGCAACAGCAACAACAATGATAATAACAATAACAATAAGAACAAGCAGCAACAATGACGCTTGACAGGCATTGGACAACGCGTCCGCTGTTGACCAGAGCCACAGAGCAAAACAAAAGACAACCAGCCTGGACGGGCCCAGGCCCAGGCCCAGGCCCAGGCCAGGCTACTGTAGAGGGTATTATTATTAGCACACAAAGCGTGTAACGCATAAAAGAAGATGTTTTCCATAAATATATACCTGATATGCATATATACCTGATTATATATAGCTGATAAGTATTAAGATAGGTTAATGTAGCCAAGTCCTAAAATATCCAGCTATTTATGAATAGTTCTATGAAGAGTTCGCAATTAAAATTGAGTCTTTTTGCATATTGGGCGGATCGAAAGACTATATCATATAGCTGCCATATGAATAAGCTGCTGAAAATTAAGTTCTTGCATTTCTTGACCAAACTTGGCTTTTAATCGTGTACTATATATTCCCTATATATGAACCCAATCTCAAGTGCATCGCACTTTTACATCATGAAGCTTCAATCCTCTCGCACATCTGCCAAACCCTCGGCTAGGGTATTTAATCTTCGGCCATATATTTTTATCTTCTTCTTTTTTTTTGCATTTTCCCCCCGGCTGCCAGCTGTTGTTCCATGTGCGGCCACTTTATTCATTATATTGTACAACATTTTCATATATATCCAAGTGTGGGGCTACGTGGCCAAGTATCACACACTCGTGTGTATAGATCCAAATCGCACACACACACACACACACACACAAAGACGTCCTAATGGCAATTTACAAATTTGCTTGCCATTTTGTGCCAAGCAATTGAAATTGTATCTTTTAATTATGGCTCTCAGCTGCTTGGCAATTGCGTCAAGCCAGCAGCCAGCCACATCGATCGCTCACTCACAGTGCGTGTGTGTCTGTGCGTGTGTGTGTGTGTGGGTGTGTGTGGGTGTGTGGGTGTGTGTCACTTTGGGTGGGTGTGGCAGGCAGGAAGTGAAATGGCTGCAACGTGGCACATTGTTTACACGCTGTCCCATTGAATATTTATACGAATCGCGCAGTTGGCTAAAAATAGCTGACAAAGCGCCAGCTGAGCAAAATCAGAGTTGGGCGCGTTTCGTGTTCGTGCTTAAAAGAATGAAAACTCAAAAGCACGACAAGACAATACATATATAAGATGCCTATTGATATATATACTATATATAGGCCAAGTTGCAGAGTAATATAGAGTGAGAAGAATTATTCTAAGGCAAACAGAGGGGGCTTATCATTTTTTTCTCGATAACTCCTCTCAGTTTCATAATATCGATATATATCGATTAACATAGATATATCAGTAATAGGTCAAGTTTTCTAGTCTTATAAAGTGAGTGGAATTATTCAAAATCGAGCAGAGGGAACTTAACATATTTGTTTGATAACTTTCAAAGTATCGATAAATATCGATGTATGTTAATAAGTCATTTCGCCTAGCATTTTTAAGTGAAAAGCAATAATATAAAGCAAACAGGAGCGGTTTATCATTTTTTCAATAACTGCTTCCAGTTGAATAATATCGATACATGTGTAATAGGGCAAGTTATTTAGTACTTATTATGAAGTCTAAAGCAGACTTTTTTCTAAATACCGATACATATCGATATATTTTAATAGGTCAAGTTTTCTAGTACTATAAAGTGAGAAAGAAGTCTATAATTTTTCGATAACTCCTCCCAGTTTCATAATATCGATACATATCGATTTGATCCTTGGCTGTTAAGACTCGAGAATTATAAGAGCTAGATAAACCAAACTTGGTATTTGTATACTATATACAGATTACAAATCTTTCACCTCTTGTATACCTCAGGCCGTGCCCCAAACAATTGTATAATTGGTAGAGCCTAGCGCTTTAGTATATACACAATGTGGTCAATGTGGTCATATTGAAGCCCTGAAAATGGCATTAAAATCGGACTATAAGCACCGAGGTAAAGTATGCATTTCTTATAGGGTGGGGCTAAGGAAAGAAGCAGCTAGAATAAGCCTGCTTGGATCTAGCTTCAACTTTAAATTCGAGTTCTTGCTGGAATTGTCATGCAAATTCAATTAAAATATCGTTGATAGACCGCACACCAGATACGCGCCAAGATGCGCGCCGAGCAGAGCCTGTGGCTGACTTCTTTAGTATCTTTTAATTAACTTGCGAGAGCAAAACGCGTGACATGCCGTCAAGCAGACGATGCGATGCGATGCGCTGCCAGGCTGCCAGGCTGCCTGCAAATCCCATGTAATACCTGAAACCCGGCCTGCACGCCGCGACGTCTTCCATCTTCAGCCCTGGGCTAGAGATAGTATGTGCGTCGGGCATGGCGTATGCGTAATATTTTTTACGACCATCCACGAAAACCCAGCGCCTGGGTTTTTCCTGCGACATTCATGCGCAAGGCAACGAATGAAAAAACAACAACAACGATTTTAGTCAGAATGAAAATGCGAAAGTCTGATTCAACTTATGCTTGCCGAGTGCAGGGTGGAGCGGGCGGTGCGGGGCGGGGCGGGCGGGGTTGGAGGGATTGCCGGTCTCAGCAATTTTATTGATTAGACACCGAAAAAAGGCGCCCGCCTTCCGGCACGCCCCGTGACATTTCCGACCGTCGAGCATTTTGTCAACTGTCAAGTTAGCAGTTTTAAAAATTCATGCTAATTGCCCGCTTTGGGTCGATTGCAAGCTGCAATTTTTCTCACAGACAAAACCCCAATTGGGAACAGGCCAAGTGGGCGATAGCAATAACAACAAAACGGAATTCAGATAATTAATAGATTGTTTCAGACTTGTGCCAAATACAGTTATAACAGAAAACAATATGGAATATTATATGTTCAACCAGTTGCCTGCCCTTTTAACGAATTTTCAATGCGATATAAAAAGAACATACTCCAAATCGGGAAGGTTTATTTTTATAGTTATGTCAATAGATTTAAAAGGAACTTAGCATAGAAATAATAGGTTTTTAAGTGGATCCTGTTAGATTTCTGTAAACAGCCGGAATGTTAATGTCAGGATCTTAAATTAGCATTAACAGACTGTTAGGCGACTCTTATTAGAGTGCTGTTAACAGCCAGAATGTTATTGTCAGGTTATATTTATAGATACACCAAAATTTTAAGCAGGATCTTAGCATAGCATTAACAGAGTGTTAAGTGATTCTTATTAGACAGCCAGAATGTTAATGTGGGGCTCATTTTATAAATATATATGAAAAGATTCAGCAGGATATTAGCATAGTGTTAACAGACTGCTAAGTGACTCTCATCAGAGTGCTGTTTACCACCAGAATGTTAATGTGTGGTCAGTTTTAAAGATATATCAAAAGATTCAGCAGGAACTTAGCAACTTGGAGTTAACAGACTGTTAAGTGACTTTCATTAGAGTGCTGTTAACAGGCAGAATGTTAATGTGAGATCATTTTTAAAGATATCTCAAATGAGAGATAGATTCAGCGGGAACTTAGCAAAGCCTTAACAGACTGTTAAGTCACACCAATTAGAGTGCTGCTAACGGCCAGAATGTTAGTGTGAGTGGCTTTTATTTGCTTAAGGGTAACAGAAAAATAAATATAACTTACCGGCTCATCGGGCAGAGTCTCCAGCACCTTGGGCTCGCATTTTTCTGGCTTTTTGCTGCCAGCTGTGGATGCTGTTGCTGTTATTGCAGCTGTTGGTGTTGCGGGCGCTGTTGTTGCAGCTGCCGCCGCAGCTGTTGATGTTGTGTGTTGCGCTGTTGTTGTGGTTGTTGTTGTTGTTGTTGTTGAGGCGCTGCGCTTGCGCAAACGCTCCGCATTACTCAGCGCGGATACAACGCTGCCCACGGGCGACAGCTCATCAAAATCGAAGCCATTCGCCTCGCGCAGCTGAAACTCCGGAACGCCAAAGCTCAAACTCTCCCGGAGCTGGGCGCGCTTGTAGTAGGCGAGCAGAGCGTCGCGCCGGCTGCTGCCGCTGCCCGGAGACGCCACAGCAAGCGGCAGCAGCAACAGCAGCGGCAGCAGTTGATAAATTTTGTGGCAAGGTGGATAGCAATTGTTGTTGTTGTTGTTGTGTAATTTGTTGCTGCTGTTGTGTTTATTGCTATTTTGTGAATTTGTTCGTTGGTTTTGTTGTTGCTTTTTCAGGTGGTCTCGATCTCTGTGTTGCATGTGGCATTTGTGGCTGAATAGCTGAGTATTCAATTGAGTATTCATTCGATTTTGGTGGCATCTTTTGTGGCTTTTGCTGCTGCTGCTGCTCTTCTTCTTATTGCTGCTGCTGTTATTGTTGTTGTTGTTATAATTATTATTTTGATAGTTGCTTTCATGCATTGAACTTTGAGCTACTTTTGACTTTGTTGCTATGCACAGTTCCATATCACTAAAGTTGTTCGGTTTTGTCGTATAAAATGTTGTCGTCTTCTTCTTCTTTTACCACTTCTAGTTGCAGCACTTTGTGTTCGTCGTTGTGGGCGTGGCGTGCAGCGAGGCAGCTTCAATTTGTTATTCCACGTGTGGCACAGCGCGCACATCTGCAAATGAGAAAAGTTACGTTATTTTCCTTGAAGTCAAAATATTCAATTGCAGCAAAGGCATCAAGCATCAGTCGAGAGTGTCCGACTAGCAGATACCCTGTCAGCAGCTTATTAGTTCTTATCCTTAATATTAATTTTGTTATAGCAAAAATTTTGACAACAGTAAATTGTTATTTACCAAATATTTCTGAAAAATCGATATTTATCGATATTCTTAGTGTAATAGCGAAACAGGAAAAATGACTGAAAAACATATACTCTTGCTTAATGTATATTAAACGAAAGAGTGCTGGTTCAAACCTCAGAAGCGTATTTTGATATAGTATTGAAAATTAATATTTATCGCTGAAAATCGATATTCAAAGTTAAATTGGGTAATAAGAAAATTTACCGAAATGCATATAGTTTTTTGCATACTGAACGAGAGGGTGCTGGTTCAAATCCCAGAATATGGTACCTATATAGCATTAAACCTGAACATTTTTTGCTGAAAATCTACATTCAATGTGTAGTTAGGGAATAAGGGACATAATCGAGAAAAATATACGTTTGTTTTGTGTGTATTTAATGAGAGGGTGCTAGTTCAAACCACAGACAACGGTAACTCTATAGCATTAGACCTCAATATTTTTCGCTAAAAATCTATATTCATCTTGGAGTTGGGGAATATAGGAAATTATTGCAAAAAAATATACATTTGTTTTGTGTATATTAAAGGAGATTGTTATATTCTCTAGCTATCTTAGTCTCTGGCATCAGTGTAATTCCACAAACAGAAAGGCAAAGCTACTCAGCTTATCGTCCTGCTCAAGAATATATATACACTTTTTGGCGTCAGAGATGTTTGTTACATGCACAATATAACACACTTTTCTTTCAATTACATTATAAACTGGATATACAAGTTACAAATATTCAAATTAAGCCAACTTGCAGAAGAAGTAAAAAGTTGTCAGCTTCTCTTCGTATACATAGCTTATATACTGAGAATAGATTGAAGCCATTTCATAATTAATAAAATCTACGAGCCCAGTCGAGTGCCCAAGAGACAGACAAAGTTTTTGGCCTCTTTTGCAGCCTCTTTTCATATTACATAACACAATTACCATGGGGAAAAGTGCACATAAAGTGTGAAATTGCATGGAAAACTTTAATCAACATTTAAGCCCCAGCTTTGTTGCTAATAACTAAATGCTCTACGTTGTAGTCTTAAGTGTTTTTAAATAGATTGGCATATCATTTTCTATTTAAATGGAATTAACAGAAAAGTGAGCCATAAAAGTTTTAATACTCGGTAACAATACTTGCGAAGGAGCTCTAATTAAGCTAGTTCTATAAAAGCAGCCAGTCTTCAATCCAAACAGGCTACGCAATCAAAGCTTTTCGCATAACACTTTAGGATTTGAACCAGAAACTTTCCTCGTATTAAGCTAGTTCTATAAAAGCAGCCTGTAAAGCTTTGGATTATGGCATTGATACAGTCTTCTATCCAAACAGGCTTCGCAATCGAAGCTTTTCTCAAAAAACATTGTGAGTTGAACCAGCAACTTTTCCTTCTGCTACCATCAAAACCGGTAATCCTAGCTGCAAGCCCCTTAAAAAAACGCTCATAAATAATAATAATGACCAAGTAAAACTTTATTCATAAATTATAAATCGCATTTGGCGAAAATAACTGCGATAATTACACAAGAAATCTCTTCATATGTCCAATTTCTGAAAGACCTCTAATTAAGCTAGTTCTCTATAGGCAGCCTTTTTCTTAAGAGTTTTCTGTGTAACAAAGCTCTGGATTATGGCATTGATACAGTCTTCTATCCAAACAGGCTTCGCAATCAAGGCTTTCCTCATAAAACAATAAAATTATTAGACATTCTTTTTGTTAGAAATCCTTGCTGTAAGCCCCTTAAAAAAACGCTCATTCATAATAATAAAGACCAAGTAAAACTTTATTCATAAATTATAAATCGCATCTGCAAAAAAAAATGCGATATTTACACAAGAAATCTCTTCATATTTCCAATTTCTGAAAGCCTCAATACGCTCAATTACTCAATCAATATTCAACATCTCTGGTCTCTGAACAGCAGGAGGAGGATTGCTTCTCCCTCAGTCTGACAATAACGCTCTTGATCTCCGTATAGTTGCGGAGCGCATACTCGCCGTTTTCGCGTCCATGTCCGGACATTCGGTAGCCACCGAAGGGCGTCTGGGCGCCCAGCTCATTGTATGTGTTGACCCAAACGGTGCCAGCTCGCAGGCCATTCACAATGTAGTTGGCCTTGTCCAGATCCTTGGTGAATACCCCGGCGGCCAGGCCGTAGGCCGAGTCGTTGGCACGCTCGACCACCTCGTCCAGTTCCTCGAAACGCAAAATCTGCTGAACGGGTCCGAAGATCTCCTCGCGAGCAATGGTCATGTCGTCCTCGACATCGGCGAACACAGTCGGTTCTATGTAGTAGCCCGGGCCTTTGGCACGCTTGCCGCCCGTCAGGAGCTCGGCTCCTTCGTCCTTGCCCGTTTCAATGTACTCCAAGATTCGATTCATTTGTTTCTCGCTAATCTGTGGACCCTGTTCGGTGTCCTCGTCGAAGGGGTTACCCAATTTGCGTTTCTTGGCGCGTTCCACACTGCGGCACACGAACTCGTCGTAGATCTCATCCTGCACGAAAGTGCGCGACGCGGCACAACAGCACTGACCCATGTTGAAGAAGAGTCCGAAGTGCGACATCTCCACGGCATAATTCATGTCGGCATCATTTAGGACAATCAGGGGCGACTTGCCACCCAGCTCGAGGGTCACACGCTTCAGATTGGTCTGACCCGCTGTCACCTTGATCTCTTTGCCCACCTCCGTGGAGCCCGTAAAGGCGATCTTGTCGACACCGCAATGTTGGGCCAGATAGGCCCCAATATCCCCATAGCCGGGCACAATGTTGACAACACCCGGCGGAAAGCCGGCTTCCCTAACCAGTTCGGCGACGTAAAGCGCCGTCAGAGGCGTCTGCTCGGCCGGCTTCAGTATAAGTGTATTGCCCGCGGCCAGAGCGGGTCCGAATTTCCAGGCAAGCATCAGCAGCGGAAAGTTCCAGGGTATGATCTGGCCACAGACGCCGACGGGCTCGTGCCGTGTGTAACAGAGGAATTTACCATCCGCGGGTATCGTCTTGCCCTGAATCTTGTCCGCCCAACCGGCAAAATAGCGCAGATTCTTGATAGTCAGCGGCAGATCCACATTGATCGTTACGGCATAGGGTTTGCCCGTGTTCACGGACTCCAGGCTGGCCAGATGCACCCGGTCGCGTTCGATTAGATCCGCCAGCCGGTAGAGCAGACGACCCCGGTCCGAGGCATCCATGCGACGCCAGGACGAGCCCGCTTGAAATGCCTTCTGGGCCGCTGCCACGGCATGATCTATGTCCTCCTCGCCGCCCCTTTCAACTGTCCCCAGCGAATCCTCGGTGGCCGGGTTTATCGTGCAAAACGTTTTACCCGAACAGCTATCTTCCCACTCATTGTTTATAAATATGCCCGTATGTTTGATATCCGGCAACTTATCCGGCTCCGCCGACTCCGAGCAAGCGGCCCGCACGGCCCGTACAACCAGAAGTCTACACTCTGCACGCAACAGCGATCTGGTCCTCGACAGACGCTGCATTTTAAAATTTTGAATAAAAAGTTTACTTAAAAAAATTTGTCCAACAAGCCTGAAAAGTTTTTACAATTTAAATTTGTGTAAAACATGACGAGCTATTAAAATTAGGAAAATAGACTACTTGGATAATTGGAGAAATTTGTGTAAGTATTTTAGTTACATTTCTCAAGAACAAGCCAAGCTATTGGCTTAAGACAAAAGAGGTTTAATTAATCTTTATTCCAGTATTACACATTTCAAATTTCAGCTGAATATAGCCAGTAGATTCTGAGTTATGACGCTGAACCACTTGCGAACCGGTTCGCTTTTGGTTTGAAACTTTACATTTTAACAGTTTTAATTAATTGGTTAATTTCGTGACCTTTATTTTTTAACTTTTCTCAAATTTAAGGTCCGAAAAATATTCGGTTCACGGTTCGTACCAATTCCTCGAACTAAGGTTCGGTTCATTGGAATTGTTTTCCACAGTTAGGAATCCATGTTTTGGTACGAAAATAATAGGCATTTTAAATTTTTACCCAATATATCCTGTAAACTCTCAACTTATAAGGATGAACCAGTTACGAACCGGTTCACATATGTTTGGAAACGTTACATTTTAACAGTTTTTATTAATTTGATACGTTTTGCAACTTTATTTATAACAAAGTTCCAGCCATGTCTGCAAGCCAAAAATATTTCCGGTTCGCGGTTCGTATCATTGACTCCAACTAAGGCTCGGTTCTTCAACCGGATTTTCGACAGCTAGGAATCCACGTTTTGGCTTGAAACTAATCGACATAATACATTTCAGCTGAAGGTAGCCAATAGATTCTGAGTTGTTGACTCTGAACCACTTACGAACCGGTTCGTTTAAAACGTTCAATTTTGGTTTAAAGGTTGGTTTAAAGCATTCAATTTTAACGTTTACAATTAATTTCTTCAACTTTATTTATTTTCGGTTCACGATTCGTACCAACACCTCGTACTAAGATCCGGTTCGTTAGCCTAGTTTTCCATTGATATGAGCCCACGTGCTGGTTCGAATCTAACAGATATCTTTTATTTTAGCTTAATATATCCGGTAAACTCTGAGCTAAACGGATGAACCACTTTAAAACCGGTTCGCATAAGTCCAAAAAAAATTATTTTCAAAATTTTGATCTGATTCCAAAGTCGAGGGATCGAGACAGAAGGGAAGAAAATCTAATTATTTTCTGCTAAATTAATAAATTAAATTAATTGTTTAATTCACGTAAAAAGTCACGTATTTCGCTTTTTAACCCCTCGACAATTTTTAAACAAGTATTATTGCCTATTTGTAAATGTTATCTGTGCACCCCGAAGATAGATATATGCAGATATATCTGCATAAATATTTGTTTCTAATTACCTATGGTTTGCTGTCAACGCCGACGTTTTTACATGCAATTAACTTTAACTGCATTTATCGTTAAAATTATGCTGATTGCCGTTTCATGTTCAGTTGCCATTTGAGTGCATTTAAAAATGTCAGAAGTGCCCACCCAATAGAACCAATAGAAACCGACCCAAGCACACACACACATGCAGAGAAAAACACCCACACACACACACACACACATAGTTGCAATTACGTCAATTGCATTTTTATATCAACGCAAATTGCAATTTAATTGAAAGCGCGACAGCCATGAAAGCAACGATAAACAAAGTTAAGCTTCGAAAACTATTCCGTGTGCTACACACTATATAACCATTTATTGCTCCATAGATAGATTTAAGTCTTAGATTAGAGACTTTTGATTAATTTAAGAGAATGTACAATAGAACAAGAAACAAGCCTTAACACACTCAGACCAAGCTCAGGGGTCGCAGCCGCGTAAACGAAGGGAAAGATTTATATAAAGCTAGATATCTTTCGTATATTTAGCATGTTCCCGAGTTTTACTTCAAATAATTATATACCAAAGGCCAAACCTTGAACAAAAAGCCATACCTTATGAAAATCGGATAAGATTTGACCGAGTTATGGGTGTGGGAAATTATGACCTATGTCTATATAGGATATTTGAGGAAACCATTTTCATATGAATTTCGACCAAAAAGAATGTTGCCACATTTTGATACCAAATTTATCTAGAGGCCAAATCATCACCAAAAAGTCAAACCTTGTGAAAATCGGATGAGATTTGACCGAGTTATGGGGTTGGGAAATTTCTACCCATGTCTATTTAGGATAATAACGGGTACTTTTTGAAAGATCTTTGAGATCTTTCCACGGGGAAGGCATGGGTATACCCGCTAGTATATATACATAAATATATTTATACATATGTATATAGTTTTTTGTTGGCTCGAGTTTAGTTTATATATTTTATGCTGGATCTGGCGACCTTTCCACATTAAGTATAATATGTTTATGTTCATATATTTTACTCCTTTGACTTTTTCTCACATCCAATTTCTATATCTAATTTTCCAAGTTCTTCCCTTTAAATGTAAATTGCAGTTAACTAGATTCCCTGCCCTTTACAATCTAGTTGACAATCAGTTTGTTTACTGACAGTTTAGATGGCATAAAGTTCTCCGTGCTTAATTACCACGATTGCTCATATGGCCATTAACAGTTTGTTGTCGGCCTTGGGGACTGCCACGCCCCCAAAGTGTGACAAAAGCAAATGTTACAAAAAAAAAAAAACGCCAACAACAGCAAAGGACAAAGAACTAAACGAATGCAAATAAAATGCGCGGTTCCCGGAGGACGCAGGACCTCAACGCGCAAAGGCGTGAGCAATCCCTCTGCTCCTCTGGGCGGGGGGGGGGGCGTGGCATGTGCGTCTCAAATTTGATAAATCAAATTTAATTGGAATTGTTTTAAATTCGATTTATGAAAAATTTTATTTGATTTGTACCGAAAAGCATTGCAAATTGCCGTGTGTCTCAAATGGGGCGTTCAGCAAATTGACGCTAATTGAAATTAATTATACCCTGTACACATTGAAAACGGCTGAAAAGCGGGTCGGTTGGTTTTGTGCCCATTTATGCGACGCTAGAAAAATTGAATATATTCTTGAGCCGGACGAGGAGCTAAATTTAACTCTATTTGCATTCTAGTTGCTCGCATTTTGTAGGTGGAGTACGTTTTTCTCTTTTGAAAAATCGATAAATATCGATTTCCAGTTATTTTGTAAACACATTTTTAAGGTTATTCGAGCTAGAAGCTTGAAGTTTTTAATATATATTCTCCTAACAAGCGCTGAACCTCGTTTATCGATTACCGATAACACGTGTCATTTTAATGAAATCGATTAATATCGATTCTTTACATATGTTCTTATATATATGTAAGAACTATAGGAGCTTATTTTTTGGGCAGTTTCGAGATATTTGGAGAAAGAACCTCTAATGTTTAAAATCTTGTATAAATATAAATAAATATAAATCCAAATCCTATCAATTTATCGATAGTTTATATCGTTTTCCTGAAATCGATTAATATAAATTCTAAGCTTATGATTTTTTACATACATACAAAACTTACATAAGGCAAAATATAAATAGTTTTAATATTTCGGACAGTAGTTACGAGAAGCGAACGTATGCTACGGCAGCTCGCGGCTGGCTACAGGGTATCTGCTTGTCGAGCAGCTATTGTTTGAGTGTTTTTTTTCCCTTAATATATTGCTGCAAATATTGGGCCCATTCCTGTTGGCACATGCGCCATAAACAAGTCGCTGATTACGTGATTTGGCCAGATGCCAATAGCCAGATATGAGGGTCCAAAACGAGTGCAGCAGCTTAGCCAGCTGTTGCCGCTTGCTGCTCGCTTGCTGTTCGCTAGTTGTTGGCTGTTTTCTGCCTGGCTGCGTCGCACCTGGCCGCACCTGGCCTCACCTTGACACTCGCTCAACTGCAGCTAATGCGGCTGGGCTCCGTGCGAGCTGCTGTGCATCAGCTGCAGAGCTTGTTATCCATGTGAATATGTGTGTTTGTTTATGTGTGTGTGTTTCTGTTTATTGGTTTTACAAATTCGCACACATACACACACACACTGACACACACGCGCACACAGTTTCCAATTAACAGAGCCGTGCGAAATTGTTGTAGCATACTTTTGTGCGCTTCCCAATTGAAACCACATCGTTGTTGCCTTATGTGTGTGTGCGTGTGTGAATATATGTGTGTGTCTGTGTGTATTTCGTGCACTGGCTGCCCTTTTTGCCGCCCACTTATAATTGCAATATTTGTGGCCAGTGGCTGGAGTAAATCACAAATCGTTTTGCAGCTGCATCAAAACCAGCAATTTGCATCATTTTGTTGAATGCAACATTTTGTCAATGCAACTGCCGGAGTTATGTTCACGTGTTGCAATTAACCGCAAACTAGTTTTGCAATAATTGAATCGAAATATATCAAATCAAAGCATGTTGCAGGACATTGATTTGAGAGCTGGCTCGAAATTGCTGAAGTACGAGCTGGAAAGGACAAAAGCAAGAAGGTCTATTTTCGGCATGCCCAGGATTAATTACCGTTGTGTATGGCTTGTGGTTTGGCAGGTATGTGTGTGAAGCATTGCAATGCTCTAAATTGCTGAGCTTGGGGAAATGTTAGGTATGTGTCTATGAGCTGTATGAGATAGTATGATGAAGTTAAATAAGATTTTGTTGATATTTAAGTAGCATGCCAAGTTAAATTCGAGGCATCAACTTGGGCATGGGAAATTGTGTATATACCAAGTACCAAGACTCAAGTCCCAAGACTCTACTAAAAATGAATACTTTCTCACATTCGGCAGAGATAAATATTCTATATACCATATAATATACCTACATTCCAAGTTGAATGTATCTAGCTCTTATATTCCTCGAGTTTTGCTCGAAAAACCATATTTGCAAATCGATTTTTATCGATTAGGTGGAGAGATATCGAAAAGAAATGTTGAAGCCTTTCCGCGTATGACATACTAGAATATTTATACAAAATTTCAATTCTCTAGCTTTTGAAGTTTTCGAGATAAATGCGTTCACACAGATGGATAGAAAGCGGAGCAGGAGAACATGACTAGAACGTAATGTTGAAAGTTATCCGAAAAAGTAAAATATTCTTAATCTGT